TCACAATCATCGATCTCTCCTTTGCATTTGAGCCAAGCAAAAGCTAAAGCAAGGAAAAGTAAAAGTAAATGGAATTGCATAAAGCAAATTTGTAGACAAAAGTTTAATCCGAAAACCAAAAATAATTACCGGGTTGTGATTCGAAAGTGCGGCCACTAAAGGTGCACGAGCCAGAGGGGAAGTCCGGCAAACTGAAGAGCTTGCTCATATTCACGGCGTCTCTAAGTTGTTTCCACCTCCTTGCCATGTGGTTATAGTTATGTTCAAAGAAGGCTTGTCCTTCCTTGAAGTCGACTTTATATTGGTGGCTATCGGATACAACTTGCAAGATTTTTGCAGCACGAATTTGAGAGTCTTTGGACACGCCTATGGTGCTAAGCACGATAAATTCAGTCATTTTCTTTGCAATCTCAATATCTTTGACAAGAGCCCAACTGCAAGATGTATATGATACTCGTAAATGATCCAACCATTTCCAGCATTTTATTCGAGTTGATTGGTTAGGAGTAAGTATAAGCAATGTCTTCTAGCATAAAAAAAGTAAATAAGTAATAGTATTTTTTATTTGTTTATTTTTTTGGAAATCCTCCGAAAAAGTCAACTTCAAGAAAAGCTCAAACTTGTTCGGCACAGATAGTTAAATAAAAGTAACTTTCAAGCTCAGCCAAAGATGCTAGAATAAAGAAATATGTAAGTCCACACGGATCTAAAGAGCATTTTGACACCCGACAAGAAAAATAAAAAAAATTCCGACGTACTATCAAATTGCATAGCTTACCCGACGCGTGATCCAGCATGGCCAGTGCTCTTAGAGACGGTAAATAACATGATATCATGATCTGCAGGAGAAGAGATTGGAATGTACTGTGGCCAGTAGTAAGCAAAATCATGAATCAGTATTCCTTGCTTTTTATTGACTACAGCTTCTCTTGGAAAGCCATCGGGATTATTTGGAGACGTTACTAGTTCAATATAAGGCTTGTCTATGTCAAATGTGTAGGCATCGCCTGCCCATTTGTGTAGTCCAGACTTCAGAAAGTCGGTAATCAAGGGGTATGACTGCAAGAAATTACAGATACAGTGTTAAACTTTCAACAGAAAAAAAATGTTTCAAAACTTATTTTCAGTCAAAATAATTGCTTAATTTATATAAGCATTTATCTTAAAATCGTGTGCTCCCACATCACTGGGGCGAGAATTTGGCTCCAATGATAATCCTCTCGTCGAAGCAAATTCAATGTTAGCAGCAGAATATTTAAGTTAAGCTAAGGAATATGATATATCTCAAAGCAGCAAATTTGCAAAAATCTGATTAAAAATATTACAATAGCGATCGAGAATATTGGTCAAATCCCGGTCATTAATGATCATGCTACTTCCTTAAACTTAGATAACTAACGAAGAAATATGAGTGACATTCATTTTCAAAAAGACTGAATCAATAAGAATGGGAGACTTCAAAGTTACAAGAACTAATTTGGTAGATTTTCTTATATTTACTTCAATAAATCTAAGCATGTATTAACAAAAGGCAGAAGAATGGATAGAAGCAAAATGAAATATTAGGCGATCTACAAATATTCAATAAAAATTTTGTCTTGTGATCATTAGGCGAGCTACAATTTGTGAAATGTGCAACATCTACAAGAATTAACCTTACAGCAAATTATTGAAATTACACTACAGTCCTCTAAAGGGATAGTAGATGAACCCAATATAGAAATAAAATAATGTTGAAGTTATCTACAATGGTGTTTGACTTGGTTTGGATTCGATAACAAGCAAGTTCGTGAGTTTCAAAATATTCTGTTCCGAAGAAGATCATGAAAGTATTGAATTTCACTAATGCAATGAAGCAAAATCCTTTGTGCATTGAATGGAGTGATACACAATACATTGTGAAATATCCTATAATCACAAGCATTGATTGTTCTGTACCATTATAATATTTAAGGAACAATTATTCAGTTAAAAAAAGTTCCATTAAATAAGTAAGCGTTGTTATGGATAATTTCATAAACCGTCTTACCGAGTAAAATGGTGCAGCAGATACCACACTGATTGGCTCGGAAGAATTCGGTGGAGAGACAGCGTACAGCAAGGCCTGGAAGAGTTGTGTAGAACCTGTCCCAACAACAATGTATCGGTCCTCAGTAATAGCATTTCCGACTAATTTGTGCAACCTAATAATCGAGTTTGCAAATTCAGGCTCTAAAAACCAGCAAACTCTACTGACATCAGAAAAATAACTAATGAATTGCCAGCCATTAATCACAACTTTAGTTTTGTCTCCCATCTGCTGCCAATATTTCTCATACATTGTTGGATCTCCACTGCATAGAGTTATGCACATATTAATTTCATTACGTAATGGCACATGATCCTATGTTCTGCGAAAAAATGAATAAACTAAGGATAAATCCATACGTATAGAATAACTTCTTACAGAATGTTGCCAGAATAGTCTCATGATGTGGGACCTACCATGAAAAAAAATTGCCAAAAAATACCCTACCCACCTCTCTATGTGTGTATTCTGGTAGCATTCTGTGAAAACTTTTTTTGTACATCAAGCATTGTTCATAAACTAAACGCCGATAATATTTTATACCAATCAGATGGTCTATTAAATTCCCATGTCCACAATAACGATAACGCTGATTCTTGTCTATTAAATTAAGATATATGCAGCAAAAAATTAATAAAGGCATGGGCTGTAATATGATAAAGTGCATGATATAACATCACCTAATTAAGGGATGGTCCATAATCGAGGAACATTGCATTATGATTCAATATGGGATGGAAGGTAGCCCACATATGTGGGTCATTCTCCATCAGATGATCAAATGATTAGACAAATGACAAGTAAAGAATAAGGTCCTAATGGTTTGATTACACTATATTTTCCATGGAACTTGGAATTCAAATTCCAACTTCTACTTTTGGTCGGTTTAATTAACAAAATTTTTCAAGGAATTGATTTTCTAGGTACAAGCCGGTAAAGCATGAAATTCCACCTTTTATTTTCCCATGGGGTAGGTGGTTTTTGGAATTCCACCTTTTTTATTATTTTTATTATTTTTTATTTTTTTATTTTTTTATTGTTGGCAATGTGAACAAATTCTAGGAACAATTGTAAAAAAGGATAGCCCTTAAATTGACAATTTTTATGTAAAACAAAACCAAACGAACACCAAAATATAGATGATTTTTAGATTTTTTTTTTGGTTGGCAATAGAAACAAATTCTAGGAACAATGGTAGAAGTAGATATTCCTTAAATTGACAATTTTCATGAAAAATAAAGCCAAATGAATACCAAAAGACACTTTTATTTCAACATTTTCCACTTAGAAAATTATACCAATCAAACACTATCAATTGACAATTCCCAGTAAAACAATTTTTATACAATTCAATTCTCTGAAATTCATTTTCTTTCCACCCAAATTCTATCTTTGCAATTAAACAGACCCTAAGTGTATAGTTTGCAATCTTTAAGGGATCTTAAAGGACAAAGGGGGTCCAAATGTAGCAAAATCTAGGATGTAATTTTCATTAACATCCGGCCAAGTAAATCATTTAACTTGACCGTAAAAATGCAACCAAGAATTTGTTGTGCTTCGGCTCCACATACTGCATATAAAAAAAGGTCCTAATTATTAAAGTGTACAGTTTGCAATCTTTAAAGGATCTCAAAGGACAAAGGGGGTCCAAATGTAGCAAATGCACAAAGTAAAAATGACCCACAAAGATACATCTCATATAAGTAGACCAAAAGTAACTTCAAGTTCACAATATGTTGGCTTGCACATTTTTACTTTAACTTCTCGTGGTCCACTAATCCAACCCAATTATAGAGGACGGTGAGCTAATTTTTAAATAAAACTTTCCGTTAATACCAAAGGTGACTTTAGGTTAATGCGGTGGAATTAGATTCCATATTGACTTATAGTAATTAGCTGGAAAATAAGCTTCTTAAACACAATTCCTAATGTAATGGAGCACTTAATTAACCTAGACATGGAAGAACAATTTCCTTAATTAATTTAATATAAGTAACTTTCTCAAAACCCAAGCAAGTGCATAACATAAGAATGATCATGCTAGTCAATGGGAGAATCAAGGAAGACCATCCATGGTGCTATCATGCATGCTAGCAGTACAAAACTACACTTTTTTTTGCCTTTAACTTTAGAGAGATGTTGGGCGCACAAAATCCATACAGACCACTCACAGCAGAGGAGGTGGGGTGGATTTTTTTGACACTTTTTTATTCATATGAAACCCACATTCGTGTGAGATTTTTATATCCTTTCTGTTAAATAAATTCTGTATATATGGAAAAACTCTTTACTTTATACTCTATCATATGCCGTGAGAATTCACAAGCCGTCAGAATATGTTCCTGTCCCTCAACTGACAAATCGTAAACCCCTATGAGCACGTTAGGGAATCTTAGCAGTGGTGGCAAAGCAACCAAGATAATAATATTTTACCCATTGAAGTACTTAATTCTTTTTGCTATTAAAATACTAAAAAGCTCACTAGCAAGTACCAATACCCCATTCAGAAAGTTGCAATTTGTGGGTAAAGCTGATAGCTTTGCACAATATGATTTCGAACTTCGAGAACATGTTGATCACACAAATATCCTGCAGTCTGTCTACAAGAAAACGTGTCCGTTTTACTTTTGCAGCTTTGTCGATAAAAAAAAGTAAACTTTTGGTATTGAGAATCTGTGTCGAACGGACAAATATCTTAGGTTCGAAGTCCATCCCTGAAAACCGTGCCATCTATAAGTTTCAAAGACCATAGCTCGGAAACTATGAACAAGTTGGAGAGACTATAAAAACCGTTCCATGTCACTTTGTTGGTATAAGTCCTTAAAAACTTGAAAATTTAAGCATTTAGACGAGATGATTCAATATAAAGAAAAATAGGATGAAGATCTGAATGACAACCCCACGTTAAGAAAGAAAAAGGCTAGATGAAGAGATTAAGTGGGAAATAAATAAAATAATAGACTTACTGATCAAGATCGATAATCCCATCAAAAGCTTTTGAAGAAGAAGAAGAAGATGAAAATGGCTGCGGTGATGCTTCAAGAAGAGTCACGGAAGCATTTTTGCACTCATTTTTGGAGCTGAAAAATTCTTGATAATGGCGATTTCCCTTGCAGTAATCTCTGTACAAGAATCCCACATTCAAGGCCAAAGAAATCACCAAAAAATGCCCCAAAATCATTCTTCTCAAGTCCATTTTAACTCACGAACCTGCTGAAATTGTCAAGAAACAAGAATCCTATTCAAATTTCAAATTATATATATGCAAGACTGCAAGTATATCTATTATATAGATGAACAGAAAGAAAGACATGCCAGTAGAATCTTGAATGCTATTAAAGGAAAGACAAAATTACCCTATACTCTGATCAAGGAATCCATGTGTAGCTGTAACTACACATGGATTCCTTGATTTACAGCTACACATGGATTCCTTGATCAGAGTACACTAGTGTGATTGTCTTACCTTTAATAAATGCAGAAAATAGGGTAGAGAATATAATGAACCTTTTGATCACATTGGCTATTGCGGGAAAACAATTTTCAAGAACTTGAAAATGAGTATTGTGGTGAAGAGAAAACCATAAAAAGAATCAAGATTTTGCTCATATATAAGCAAAATAAGCAGCTTCCAATAACCCAAGAAAACCCAGTTTTTCAATTCAAATATGGGGAATTTTAAAAAATGGCCAAGTACATGTTTGTCAATTGAAAAGTGTCCAATTTTGATAACCTTTGCAAAAATAGCCAACTTTGGTATCAAATTGTCTTTCATATTCTTAATGAAGCAATTTTTTTTCTTTTTAATTTGTCGCAATTTTTAAGAAAAAGAATGAGAAGCTACATTAATATAAGGTAATACCTAATGGGAAATGTCATTTCATTATGTATTAGATAATGACCAATAATTTTGGATATAAATGAAGATAATGAAATAGGAAAAATCATTAACTCAATAATAATAATAATAATAATAATAAATAAAAAATTCATACTTCTAATTTATAAAATTGTTTCGAGAAATTTAATCTCATCAACAATTCTCCATAAAAGTTAAAATTTTTTTTCGAAATCTTATTTTTGTTGATAAATTGTATTTAATAGTTGTTGTGATATATTATCTAAATGGATGATTATATTTTTCAGACAATTAGTAGATATTTATTATAAGATTATTGGAGCATTTTAAAATAAAATTCATGTTTATTGTTTTGTGTTTCTCAAACATGGTGTCACAATCTACTTAAATAACATTGATATATGTATTTACAATGGTTCGCATGTATTAACAATACCATTAATGGTGGAAGAAATTCCTCGCAAAAATGATTGTTGAAGTTGAAGAAGATGAGAAATGCCTATGGTAAAGTGTTTGATCGATATTTCATTTTCGATGTTTTATAACTGTCGAGAATAATGTTGCAAACTTAGCGAAGTTACGGAACATTTTGTGTTTGCCATTGATCATATAGCTTATGGGTAACATGTTTGTTTTGGATATTTGTGTTAGCTAATTTTATTTACGTTGATGACATACAAATATGGGATATGCGATGAGGTTCGTTATTTCGCATGGCGGTACATTCGTCAACATGGAGGATGAGTGGAAGTGGTTTGGGAACCATACAACATTAATTGTTATTTGAAGTCACATTAGATATAAAGAGCTTCTCAATAAATTATTCGAAAAGCTTTATCTTGATAGAATGAAATTTCGAATCCACCTTAAATTTAAAGTTTCGAATATGAATGTACCACCGCTGATATAGCCAATGATGAGGATTTGCATTGGTATATTTCTATTCACGCACAAGCAGCTTTGTGTGTAATTGTAGGTCAATATAATGTCGGAGAGCAAGAGAAAAATGTCGGAGTTGATCCCTTTATCATCAATAAAAGGCATGAAGAAGTTGGTGTGTTCGAAGTGGAAGAATCACAAATGATTTCAGATACGGATGTTAGCTTAGTTGAAAGAAATCTGTATATTGAAAATGCAAATGAATCGAAAGATCAACGGGAAATTGTGGAGAACCAAATCTTTTTTAGCAAGAAACAACTACATATAAGACTTCCACTACAGACTTTGATTGAGAAGTTTTATTTCAAAGTTAAAAAGTCGAATACTAGATCTCTCATTGCATGTTGCGTGGATAACAACTGCCATTCGTTATTACGAGCTTTCAAGATAAAAAATTCAGATATATTTAAGGTTCTGAGGTACATGTACCTTAGCACATTTGTTCTTTAGATGTTCGTCATTATGCACACATGCATGTAACCAGTTCCCTTATTGGACAACACATAATGCGACGATTGGATGATGCAAACTAACTGTACAGTCCCACGTGTACTCTCAGGGATATTGAACGTGAGTTCGGTGTATGAATTAGCTATAATAAAGCTTGGAGGGTAAAGAGAAGGGTCTTGAATGGTACTGTGTTTTATAGAGTTTTCAAAAATTACCTTTGTATTGCCATTGTTAACTGAGAAAAACTTCGGAATCGTCGCACAAGTTCTTGTACTTCTTTTTAGCATTCAGGACGAGTCTACGTGGCTTTCGTGATTACATGAGATCGGTCATTTATGTTGACAGAAGTCATTTGAAGGGTGAGTACAATGGAACACTATTAGTTGCCACAGCCCACGATACGAACTTCCAACATGTTCTATTGTTTGAAGGATTGTCAATGAGAAAACAAATGCATTGTGGAATTGGTTCTTCGCGAAGTTGAAAGATGTAGTTGCGACTCAAAATGATTAGTGTTTGTATTAGACAAGAAGAATAGCATTAAGCGGGTAATCTCCAGGTTGTACCTGCTTTCACATCATGGTACCTACATCTGGCATATTGAAAAAAATCTTATCTCTAGGTATAGCAATGTCATGTTCTTGTTCAAGCTTACAGTACTAGCATACTGCATATCAAAATTCGAATAGATAATAGGATGGATTAAAACCATCTAACCAGTAGTTGCTTCTTATTTGGAACATCATCATGGTCATGTGCAAATTTTGATGGTAATCGGTACAACATTATGGCGAACAGCAGTGAAGAGTCCCTTAATTCAGTCCTCAGGCGACAACAAAATTTTTCTATAACCTCATTGGTCGACAACATTAGGTCTTTGGTGCAACAGTGATTTTTTGAGAGGAGAGCCACATCCATCAAATGTTAGAGTGCCTTAACACCAAAGAAGGATGAGGAATTGAGAAAATTGTTTGACGTCGATGCAACATTGTAAGTATGTCACTTGGATGAACTTGTGTTGGAGATTGGCATAGGCACGAACATGTGTACTGTCAACCTTATAGGTAACACATGCTTATGTCGAGAGTTACAGATGCGACAGATCTCGCGCACATATGCATCTCGAGTAGCATGTGCAAAGGAGAAATCACTTTATTCGTTCCATTCATGTTTCACCCCAAACGACCTTCTACCCAATGGAAATGATCAAGACATGAAAGGTCAATGAGCACAAAAAATGTGGACAATGCGGTAGTTATGGACACAATACGCAAACGTGTAGGAACCCAAGACCATTGACTAAATCATGACAATGACAATAAGTTTCTTATTTGAAGTGATCACAAAACTACAATGTACAATGACATCTACATGTCTTCAACAATGAATAGAGAAGATATCTGAGCTCATGATGACATCTCCCATGACATCCATACCCGGTCTAACATAGTTGACCAACTCGTCAATGTATTGAATACCAAACAAAATATGGCGTTCATCTGGTGAGATTTCGACCAGGATGATCTCATGGTCGGCATTATGATCACCAACTCTAGGTTTACTTAGCTTTCATTCGTTTCTTAAATCAGGAAATGAAATTGGATGAAAACCCATCTGACAGTGACGGTTCCCAAACTAAAAATATAGAGAACAAAGTTAGGCATTTGTTCATCATCGTTTGAGTCGATGATGATTGGATTGTTTATTGTAGACTCGGACAGGGAGATGTTCATAGCAATATCAATATGAGGAGTTTCTTCAATTGAAGAAAACATAGTTGAAAGAAGTTCTTACTATTAGGAATTCTTGTGAGGAATTGTGTTTGAACATTGTTTTTGAAGTCATATGCATGCTTATATAGAGGTATGAAACATGGTTAATGAGATGTAATTACTTTATAAGACTACACACCAACTCCTACTCTATGTAATTACAGTTGCTTGCCAACGTGGATTTATAACACACTTTTCATTAAAATTATATTGCGAAACTTCTAGTCTAATCATATTGTAGTGTTGGGCAAGGACAAATCATCATAATCATCACGTACATGCATATCTCTATCACCATCAACACAACCAAATCCAAAGTACTCATCACGCACATTATGTCTCCCAATTTATGTAACCACTTTCTCGAACCTACATTTGATCATACTTATATGATCGATCACATGATCCTTTATGCAGTACACATAATCCCCCATCTTCTGTTCAATACCAGTAAAGTTCACCCAGCCTGATCCCAATCGCCTTCCTCTGTTTAGTCAACATAGCTCTTATCTTATCTAAAGTCACATGCTCACCGGTAGATGATTTAGTAAGCTAGAAGTTGATTGCAAGTCTTGGACTGGATCGCAAAGCCCTTTGTCTCCACCTTCATCGTCTCTGAAATCCCTCAGACGAAGTCCACTTATATTGCCTCTCCTAGATTTCTTATGTCGGTTGTTGTTCTCATCATTTTGTATCACTTCGCCTTCTGTGGACAATCTTGTATTTCAGTTAATTGAACATTGAGACTGGTTAGAACCTGATCTGCAGCATCTTCCAATGAAACCAAATCAGCAAATTACGGCTGCAATTCTTCTTTCAGCAGTAGTGGTAGCATCGCCCACAAGTACAACTGGAAAGGGAGGAAAAGTCATCGAAATCAATTATTATGTATGCCGAAAGTGTAAGTGCAATCATATATGTAAATGCTTACATGTGTCCTGTTAAAGATATCTGAATATATTCTCGATTGAGGTTTTCTAGTGCCAGACTACCGCAATATTCTCGAAAGGTTGTCACTAATCTTACTCGAGAATCAAGCCCCAACTCTGGGATTGCCTCATACACCCACAACTACAAAACATTTATAACAGTGGTTATCATATATGGAGATACATAAAAATGTAAAATAGATAGAAATGAAATAAATACGAACTCATCTATACTTGAATATCAAGAGGAAATTCGTACAACGTATAGGACATTCCATCACAATCGTTGACCTTTGCCAACTTTGCCTGTCTCTCTCATCCACGGAATAGTGATTTGATAAGAAGTTTAAAACATACTATTCCCTATAGGTAGACATTGAAGAAATCCAAGTCGTTCACAATGAAAAGAGTTTCAGGATGTATCCCCACATTTCGATATCTGAAATTGAATACCCCATTAATAATTAGTGTCAAACTAAGCTTGTAATGATCGTTGCGGTTGACACATTTCAAGAATACCTTTTCCAGGTCGCTACAATTTATCCGGTCTCAATTGGTAAGCATTTTGTTGCGTAATCGAATTTTCTCTAAGATATTGTCAAAAGTCGATGATTAATGCGAACTCCAAGCCAATGATTAATGCGAACTTGGGCATTTCACCACACTCCAAGTCGATTATTAATGCGAACTTGGGCATTTCAAATCTTGCAAACTGTTAATTTATCCTGAACCAAGCCTCGAAACGTTTTCGCCAAATCACGTAAGAACATCCAAAGAAATCAGTATAATGTATTTAAATACGGAGATTACATGTATATATGTACAGATACACATGAACGTATATATATTGAATATGAAAAACTTGAGTCACTTGCAACAAGAGATGGGCTCCTTATGTGAACAACAAACTCAAATATTTCACAAACAAGAAATTTGAAAGTTTCGTAAAACAAAACAAACACAAAGAAAATTTGATAAGCAATATACAAATGATGAACGTGAGCAATGAACTATTTCTCAACTTAAATTTTATTGTATCCTCTCATTTAATGGAACATTTCAGGAATAAGAACCATCATTTTTTTACAAGAAAAAATTATTTGTTTATTATTCAAGTACATAATTACATTCCATCAAGAGGACAATACAAGCTTAAACCATAAACATCTTGCAAAGTCACACTATGAAACAAAATGATGAAAACATCTATCGTGAAGGAAACAAATGTAATGACATCTTCTTTAGATACACCATGTTTCCATGATGTATGGTACTTCGGCAAATGAAATATCCTAATTATATAATGAATGCAACATTTTATTTCTACACATCAAATACCATAAAGGGAAAGGACTATAAATAATTTAAGTATACCAAAAAGAGAAAGCTTATTCATACAAAAAATTTACTCGAATCATAGTGCCTTTGAATTCCAGGATGCCAAGCTCACTGCATGGAATTGGAGCATTATAATTGAAGTTAAAAAAAAATCTATTTGAATCCGAATGCAAATGCTCTAATTTCCAGTTAGAAAATTCAACCTGTGCCACCTAACATTGTTTAAATCTATTCAAGACAATGCAGCTATACTACTAAGATAACTTAAAAGGGGCTTCTTGTTTCCAAATAGAATTCTTTTAAGAATACTAATCAATGATACTATAGTGATATCATTAAATGTATGGCATATAGCTTGATTCGGATGCAACATGATGCATGCATTAACACAACCGAAGGCCAAAAACCATAAAGTGATACACGTATCCAAATCAATCCAAGCAGCATGACTCCACAATTTCACTTACATATGAAATTGAGTTCACGGGGATGAATGTCAACTAGACGGCCTCATGATTCCTCTAGCCTAAGATAGTAAATGAAAAAAAAAAATAAAAAAAAATCAAGGCACCACTAAGTTTCAAATAAAATATAATGAATTGACAAGAACAACAACGATATCAACTCATTTTTACCATATTTTCTCTACTATCTAGAGGCATATGGTTGGAATAAGTAAAGGAAGTAAGATACAAGTCAAAACTAAAAGTAAGAAAGACACACTGGAAAATCATGGATTTTTTTTTGGAAGAGAAGAATATTTAAGGTTAGAAAGAAATTAACAAATTTAAGAACGTTCTTGATTTTGGGACTGTCGAAAAACCAATATAAATAAAAATCTTTGCAGCTTTCATATGTGTATTCAACAATGGAAGATGGAACACAAAACACAGATTGGGAGTTTGTTTCTACTACTTTTGTGGGAAGTAAAATTAGAAGGCCAAAACACTTCCCCCAATAAAATCCTCCATTTATACAAAACTTCAAACCTCACAACACCACATATAAATACGCACATGGAAGAAGTAATAAATAGTTGCACAGGAAAAAATAAATTTAAGGACAAATGTGTGAGAATTTGATCGAGTGAGAAGAAGAGGCAATTGAGACAGAAATTGATAGGGAGTAATAGGCAAAACATGCAACAAAGTAGAGATGATGATCCATAAGATGATTCCGATGGTTGGAATTGTAGCGGCCGATGAATTGTAAGAAAGATAATATAGGATTTTCGATTGAAGAGAGTGAAAATGGAGGAAGTGTGTGAGTGGGTTTGGGTAATGACACGGGTTGGGTCGGGTTAACCCAAACCTAACTTACCCAATAAGAACCCAACTAAAAATTGATATGAACCGAGATAGGCCACAAACTGCCACCGAATTGTTGATTGTCAACGAGGGGTTGGGACCAAGATTTGAACTTAACTCAAGCCAATGAGATCATGCAATTGTTTGTTCGAGCTTTGGAGTACGCAATGTTGAAGATATCAAGCCCAGAGTCAAATTGCATGAGGGGCTTGGGAACTAAAATCAATTGGAAGAGCTTGGTTTGAACAAAGGGCGAGGGAGGCTGGAAGTAAAGCCATGCGATCACATGGCTTAAAATACCATGCTGCCGCATGCTGGCAGGCCGAGAGCAAAGCGGTAGAAGAGAAATGTTCCATGTGATCGCATGGAATAACACCATGCAGTCGCACAATACAAGTCCGAGACCAAATTTTTTCTTATTTGCGAGTTACCTAATTACGCTAGAATTCTATTTCCATTGATATTTTGTAATCTTTAGCACGTTATTTCCATTTTTAATTAGTTTTGGGGTTTAATATGAATAGAATTATTCCCTTTGATTGTAAACAAGACTTTGAGTATTGAATTAATTCGAGAGGCTAGTTTGCTTCCAAATCATTTGTTCTTTATTCAACAATTCGAACTTATTAAGAAATCAATTTTCTTGTGGTGTTCACAAATCCGGGTGAGATTCATCAATTGTGTGATCAAGAGGTCGATAAACTCTCGTTTGTTGGTTTCTTGGTTCATAGTTTTTGGGTTAAATCCAAAACCTTGCATCTTTGGCGTTCTTGGGAGGTTGATTTCAATCTAGTGCGGGTTTCGTGGTCGTCGTTGCTACGCGAGTTCACATGAAAAATAATACAAAAACTGATGGTTATAGAGAAAAGTAGCACTTAATGTGGTTTGATATGTGTACTTCTTGAAATAAACAGTGTAGGTTATGTGGCCAACACTATGATTTTTATTTATTTATTTATTTTTGTCGTCATTGTGGAATTATAAATGCTAACAAGGGTATTTTGCTCTAAATTATTACAAAATGAACATTGAAGAAATTTTGGACCTTTTTGCAAATGACTATGTGAAAGTAGACATTTGTTGTAATATCTACAAATATATATAAAAGATAGATTTCAGTCTCTGTCTATATCTCTCGATCTCTATGTCACACACACAGTGAAAAGCTGCTGTTTTGGCTATCTTCGTGCGATGTTGTATGTTCATTCACTTCTCTCATTTTTAAGAACTATTCTGTATAGAGTTGTGTGCTGTATATTCTATTGGCTCTTCTTTTTCTTGAGATCTCTTCTTCGAGCTAGTATAATTAAAAAATAAAATGGTGAATTTTGATAAAAGTTGTTAAAATTTATAATTGAAAAATTGTAGATCTCATTAAATATATTATTAAAATTAATTATTAAGCCTAATTTAGATTAAAATCTAAATTTTAATCACTACTAAACAGCGATTGAATCTTTTTGTCGCATCTTGCCCTTTTTTTTCGCTAAATAAGTTTGGGAGCTTTTGTGAGGGAATATTCTCACGCTTCTTGCAATATGTTTGGAAGTGTTTTTTATGTGTGTTCGAAATGATCAAATGAAAATTGAATGGTTTGGTTTCGATTTGGTTCCATATCCTAAAAATACTATTGATTCCATTATTAAAAAAAAAAAAATCATTGGTTCATGGTTCAATTCGATTCTCTTAAAACTAAAACCAAATGGTGTTTATAAATATTTTAAATAAAGGAAAAACGGAAGTTTTCTTGAAATTTCATATAATTTCAGAAATACTTCTTTACTTTTTAAAAATTATGCAATTTTTTCATTTCAAATTTTAAATAAATCATACCTCCCTTGAAATTTATGACAATTTTAAATAAAATATTCCTTATCAAAAAATTATCCAACCCCCCCCTCCCCCCCATTTTATATTTTGAATAACGCATGTCTTCATTGATTAATTTCCTGTCACATGTTAGCTTTAATAATAGTACAAATGTAAAAATATCATTTTGAGTTTTCTTCTATCTAGTGGCTCATATAAAATTAATGTAATACTTAAAATAATTTTTTAACACTTATATGTAAACCAACAACAAAGTATTATTTTGTTTATTGACTTTTAAAATACATGAATAGATACTCAAAATAATTATTAAAATCACTATGTTTGATAATTTATAAATATTAATAAATTGATTAAACTTTACTTTCGACAACACATTTCAATAAATTCACAAGTACTATAAATTTATACATCATTCATTTCTATCTATTTATAAATTATATAATCTAAAAATTCTTCCCAAACGTACCAAAAACGTTGAAGGATTTTATAAGAATTTATGATCCAAATAAAAGTTTGATGTTGATTTTTAGTTAAAAGTGTTGAAAGGTTATATTAATTTTAAAGGAGCCACAGGATGGGAGAAAGTTCATAAGTACATCTTCAATGTAACAACGTAAATTTATTGTACATTGACAAGCAAAATGGGAATGATGAGAAGAGTATCTCCAATGGAATGTAAATTGCATTAATTGTGTGTTACATACATAAGAGACATGACGTAGAAAAAGTGCGAAGATAAATTTAAAAAAATTAAATGAAGACATTTTTCAATGAGTATAAATTATAAAAAAATAAATTTTAGGATGTCTAGTTTACCTTCCATAGGTAGATGGTGTGCTAAACATTTATCACTTTTTTCCTTATCATGTAAACATTTAGGATAATGAGGAACACTTTTTACTGCAATCTACAGTCGAATTGGAGATGCTCTAAGAGAATATTGAACATTACCACTACGATTCATGTTACCATTTGAAAAAAGAAAAGTGGCCTATGAAGCAATGAGTTAATTCGAAATAAGAGAGATTTATGCAATTTTCAAAAATAGAAGGTGTGACTCTGCAATTATCATAAACTTCAGTAGAGATATACGCTATTCAAAATCTGAAATAAATGAGAGTTGTGTAATTTTATAAAGGGACGTGTCTCTGAAATTGTCATAAATTTCAAAGAATGTTTGAGTTATTCAAAATTTGGAATAAGGGAAATTTGTATAACTTTTGAAAAGTGTGGGGGTGTCTTTAAAACTTTCAGATACCTCAGGGGAGTGCTCTATAATTGCCCTTTAAATTATGATTATATAGTAATCATGTATTATTTGTAAATGTCTCCAAATAAGTGACTTTCATTGTTTATACACAGTTTAATTAATTAATTTATTTTTCATACTCATTGAGTATGATATCTAACACCGTGGTGCTCACACGCCGGCAATTTATAATAATTAAAAAAGTGTAAGCTTCTATTCG